GATACTTATATGCCAACCCCGTACGAAGGACGGGTACTCTGCTAGTCAGTTGATATTTTGTTATTATACAGGCCCATGAGTGGAAATGGTATTGTAAAATGTGTGGCTTGATCCTTGATAATTGTTAAAGTGTAACTCTAAATTTGTATAACAGCGATAAATAGATTACGTGTTTGCTAAATATATATGTGATCTACAATAATGTAATCCTTTGAATAATGCAGCCAACCTAAGTCTTAAAACCAATAGTTATAGTTTCAGAGCAGGGCCGGCTAGAGGGTGGGGCAGGGGGGCCCAGGGCTTCGAAGGGGGCCCGGCACGGTCAAATGTAACATTTTAACTGTATATTGTAAGCTTTATTGTTGATTTGGTAATTAATTTAATTTGACAGAACTCGCTTGACATACGTTTGAGGTACAGGAACAGTCATAAAACACTGGCATTCTGTTACAAGAGGAATGTAATAAAGAAATTAAGAGCAAAATAACAAATTACAGAAACAGTGAGTACAGATTGAACTAACAAACTTTTGTAAATACAATAAATTATAAATGACAAAAGGCCAGCAAAGAAAGGGTATTTTAAAAGAAAGTACTAAACCCAAGATCAAAAGATTGAAGTCAAAAGATTAGGAAGATGGAATGCATGGAAAAATAAAATAAAAAATGAAAACAGGTAAAAATAATTTGGACAGGACCGGGGTATATCAGTTAAAATGTGGTAGTTGTGAAAAATATTATATTGGCCAAACTGGGCGTTCTTTCATCAAAAGGGCTAAGGAACACAAGCCCAACCCCCGATTGGTGCAGCAAAAATCTAGCTTTGCACAACACATAATCGATGAAGAACATTCGGCTGCAAAAATTGAAGACAACATGAAAATTTTAGAATTTCAAAATAAAGGACATATTTTGGACACACTGGAGGAATACCATATCTACAGAGCCCTCCAACAGGATAAAGAATTGGTTTTAAACGATAAACTGAACTATAGTTCGCACCTTATATTTAACAAAATATTGGAATGCCAAACCCACCGGACGAGTTCACCTACGGGGGAGGAAGCACAAAGGACGAGTCCACTATCTCGGTTATCAGTAACCTCAAGGTCACACCACCGCACACGGTGCCGTCTTCAGTCCTCCTGCCGCCGATAACCGTGACAGGCCCGTTCGATAGTTTAATCTCGTTCGTAATATGTTTTGTACCTGTTCGTGTTTAATGTATGTGTTTTTTACGTCCTGTATTGTGTTTATAAACTTTTTAACGACGTAAATTTGACCGACATGTGAGCAAGAAGTTATCCTGCTGACTTACGTGATCATGGTGCAACTCAGCATCGAAACCTGGTTGTAGAGTTTTAACGACCATTTGAGCTACTGACAAAGGTAACTTAAAACCATTTAATAAATGAAAAGTATGAATTAGAAATATAAAAGTATAAGTTGGTAAAATGAAATAAAATTTAAAGGAAAACTAATAAAATAAAACTAAGTTTATACTTGAAGAATCTCTCTCTAGGAAAAGAGAAACAAAGGTTTAAAACATTCCCTTTTAATTATTTTGTGAGTGAGCAAGTAGATTTAGAATTAAAATAAATTATGGTTACAATGGATTTAAATTGGTACATACATATTTCACTTGATGTTTGCACAACCTAACTTCTGCCAATAAAGTGGCAACAGGCCATGGAATCTAAACTTCACATACACACAACACACGGGCGCGACACTTCAACGAAACATTTAACGATTTTGGAGACTGGAGACTAACTCACGCTAAGCCGAATTCTAGGAGACTGTCCATCTCTTCAGCAGATAATTTAGAGGGTCGTAAAAGATGCTGGAACCTCTCCGCCAATCGGGTGGTGATACGTCATACAGCCAGGGTCTTCTTACAGCTGATTGGTTTTTGTGAGTCCACGTGATTTGCACACGTGTCGATGCTTCCAGAAGTTTATTGGCATATTCTCTGTCTCCGTCATAGGAACACGGATGCGTAGCTTGCACTTACTTTTGGGAACAAGCCCAGACTGTCTGATCATTGGAAAAGTACAGTAAACAGGAAATGATGATTAAGAATGACAGCTACAGAGATTGAGTATTGAAAACAGGAAATAGTGGGTTGAATTACAAAGTTCAGGAAGCTTGAGAAATATGAATTGAAATAAGTTTCAGGGTTTCAGGAATGGTAAAGTAAAGAAATTATATTTTTAATTAAAATTGAGTACGTAGTTACAATATGTTATGTGCCAAAGTCCAAAATTTTAGTATAGTTTTTCAGTTCACTGAGTAATTTTTTACTTGACTTGACTCATTAGTTTTTGACTTGATAAAGTTGCAACTGCATGTGAATTAAACAAACCATCAAGCATTTAAGAAATGTATTGTTATTTGTAACAAAATGGCACGGAGGCGGCTGGATTTAGTCAGGAAAATAGGGGGCCCGGGATCGCTCAGCCCAGAGGCCCCTGACGGCTCTCGCCAGGAAGCCCTGTTTGAGAGTAGTACAGAATAAATGTTTTGTTTTGTGATCGAGGCTATTAATTCTATATTCTATCAAATTATTTTATTTTATTCTGTTGATGGACAGCACGGCATTTGAGAGGGACCATTATAATTATAAAATTATTATAAATCGGTTCCAGGAAAGAAGGAATTTTTTGCTTTGAGGTACCAACACAATAGGTACTATATATTGGAATAATTTGTTTACTTTATACTTTAAACTTATACAAATTCAGTCATGGCCTGGCCAGTGACGTGGATATTGAGTGCATTAGGCCTTACTAGTTATGTTAATGTGACTAGCTATGTTGGTTTTAAATATGACTACAGTAGAACTCCAACTATTCTAATTGCCTATTATCCAAATGTCTTACAGAAAGGATAAAAAAAACATAAAACTGCTGTAATAATAATGGTTGCTACGGCAAAATCCAAAAACTCCCTTCACCGTCTCTCACATTTGTGACCGCGGTCATCAATTTTTGCGATCACGGCAAAAACTTGCACACCTTCCTGCGGTCCTACAGAAATCATTATCTTCTCCTGCGGTTCACGGAAATATCATCATTGCCTTTCGTAATTGTGAAACAATGTAAAATATATCCCACGGTCATGTAGACATCATCATCGTCTCTCGCGCTCGGGTAGACATGATCATCTCTAGCAGTCATGGTAACTGGAAACTCGTCATTGTTTTAAGCAATCGAGGCTAAATCTTGTACATCTTCCGTAGTCTTGTAGACATCATCATTGTCTCCCGCTGTCATGGAAACAACATCAACCTTTTCAGTGATTGCGACAAAATCTTGACTACTATCCTCGCTCTTGTAGACATCAACTTCGTCTGCTGTGGTCATGAAAAATAATAATTGTCCTCCGCTATCATGGCGAAAGCTTGAATTTCTCGATCGTGAAATATTTGCAGACACCTTTAGCGATCACAATAGTAAAAGCACGACTCAAGCGGTGTTAAGGAGATTGAAACCAAGGAAACTAATAAAAAAATGTTATTTAATTATACGCTTTCATTTTTGGAAATAATTAGTTTAAAACAGGTTTTAACACTAGGCCTATTAAGTATTTTAATGTATTTTCTAACCAACTATTCAATATTGTAAAAATGTCTTTATAAATATAGCAATCCTAAAAATTTGGCGCTCTTGGCCTATTCAGCCCATATATACAAAGAGGGGCCTACCAATTTAACATTTTTTCAGTACGGTAAGGCATGTAGATAACTACAATTAATTGGTCGTACACACTTTAAAAACTAGGAAAATGCTGATTAAATTTTATTTTTGATTAAAATTACCTATTTTATAAGTTGTATAGTATTTTTGTCATCCCTCACAATCTGGGTGACATGGAGTCCAACTCCCATGATAAGGTACCATCGTAAACTTTTACTTATCGACTTCACAGATCACAACTATATTGCAAGATTTCTGTTCCGTAAAACCCCTTAAATATTGAAATGACACTTAAAAGACTAGAATAAACATTTTCTGAAAAAAGGCTGACTTGTTGTGTTACTAAACATCCCTAATAAAAGGTGTAAAAGGTCATCTGGCATCCCAGCTTTATCAGCCACTGGCAGAACATTGTCATCCATTTTTGGTTGTTAGAAAACCTTGCTGTTTCGGCTTAAAAAAGTCGGTTTCTATAAAGACCTTTAACTGATAAACTGATTTCGGTCAAAATCCGTTACTTGCCCACAATTCTATTTTTTCCAATTACACTTCTATAACTTATTGAAACCTTTTATATAATAAATAATGAAAAATAGGCCTACTGTATTTAGAAAAGGTTTTCGATCACATACTATAATAAATTTGGAGAAACCCCATAAAATAGTAGAATAGCTACCGTACTGCAAATTTTAAGCTGTTCGAGAGGTTTGGCTGGTTAGATTAGGTTAGGTTGGATGACACTATTCTTACCTAAACTAACCCAGCCAAACTTCTCGAACAGCTTAAAATTAGTTTTTTTAGTATCTGAACCAAAATTATTTCATTGTTATGACAAAGTCAACAATGATTCATTAACGCGGGCCGCTGCTGGCGACGCTACAGCGAACCTTCATCTCTCCCAGACAGATAAGATAAAACCGATAACAATGCCGTTGTAAATAACTGGAAATGATTCCATTCTACTAAACAAAGTACTCTGTCATTGAAAAACTACTTTTTGTAAACTTACATGTCCATATTAGGCCTAATAAGTTTTGGAGTTGTGGGTATGTAGCGGATTTTGACCCTGATTTCTCAAATATTTTAGATAAAAATGGAAGGATTGCCACTGGCCGGTAATTGGAGGGTTAACCAACTTTCAGATAATCGAAGCTCCATTGTGTTGGTGTCTTAAGTTATGAACTGAAAACAGATCATGGTTTTCAGGACTACACAGAATACATTACATTTTACCCTTCTATAAAAGTGTTGTCATGCATAAGAATAATGTATATTTGTTAGTAAATCGTTAAATGGTCCTCACCATGGGAGGTTCTTCTTCATCCATTTGCTAGTCCCTTTCAAGCTAAAACATCCAAATTTGGAGCATGCTATTATTGAAAGCAAATTAATCTGAATATATAGCCATTAGCTTAAGGTACCAATAATTTCCAACCAAAATGACAGAACCAACACCTTTACAAAACAAGTCAAGTGATTAAATTAATGTGATATTACAGCCTACTTTTAACCTATTTCACTTGATAAATAATTAGAGTAATCTAGTTTTATTATGTCAAAGTACAACACAACTACTACTTGTACAAACAATCAGCAACAGATAAGAATGCACTCTAACAATTAGCATTCCCAGGAAACATATCAGGAAACGCCAAAAATAAAATAGGTTTTTTAAGTGGGCAACTAAAGAAATGTTCAGTTTAACAAATCTAATGTAATATTTTCAAGAGGAAACAAAAAATATCATGATTATTTTCTATATTGAATGTGAGAAGTGGTCAATAGACTTGTTAATGTTTTACTTATCTCTCATCTTAAAGTTGATTTAAAAAAAAACATATGTTTATAATACAATTTAGTTATTGTAAGAGTAAAATTTTTTTTTAATAATCCTAAAATAACAAAATAATCTAACTTTTTTTTCTACTAACAATAAAAATCCCCTTGATAACAAAACATCTCAATAGAAAGTGCCACAGAGAAGTAATATATAGAGCATACACGCTTATATCAGACAACAGTGGGCTTTTAGATCTGGTATGTTGGAGCGGAAATGTACTAGTATCGAGCAAAGAAGAGTCAGAACGGCAATGGCCACATAGCACATTTTGTGGCGCACAGGGTCTCCCTACCGTCTAAGCGCTATAGTATGTGATAGCGAGAGGGGATAGGAGAGTGGAAGTGGAAGGGGACGACAAATAGAATTTGATCTAAACACCTGCAACTGGTACTAGACACCACTCATGTGTAACATTGAATGTATCTGCTGTTTCTTACTTCTCTGTGAAAGTGGTCAATGATCAATATAATGTAGGCTTAAAGCCTTTGAACATTTATGTAGTGAAAATGAACAAAAGAAACGGTGTTCAATTTACTTATTTGACATGGCTATTTTCATGTCATCAATTTGAAAAAGACATGACAGTCCTTGAAATCCTTGGGTGTGCAAGCATAAATCAGCCTTTTATTTTACAGCTGGGCTACACCGATAGGCCTTAGAACAAACTTTGATCCGAAGAGTTGACAATTTTAAGATTTCTTAAAAACAAAAATTTTTTTAACTAAGGATCTACTGTACTTACAAGGAGGAACCAAATACATCAGCTTCATCATGATCACCAACAGCTTGCTTTTCATTCTTCTCACTGATGTCCTCTTGACTACCATTTATAGAATTTGTCTCCATTTTTTCCTAAAAATAAAAATAAAACTATACAACTAAAAACTATACAGTATAGATACTGCACCCAAAGAGAACTGTTATCACAATCATTCCTTGTATTGACATGTTCACGATTTTGTAACATACAAACTGCTCTGTATACTGTGAAGTCTAAGTTAGAGGCCTAGAGCCTAAGTATTCATACATAAATAACGAGAGGTTAAATGCTCTACGCTGCGAGAGAGAAATATAGTTCATGTCTTATGATAGGCTAATTTAATTAGGTACTGAGACAGTTTTTTTGAAGCCAGCCTGGCCGCACGCCGGCGCCTTGCCGAGGAGGGCATGGTGTTTAGAGACATACATAATAGGCTAAACATTTTTAAGGCTAACAAAATACACCGACCAATTAGGACCGTTAGAATGTCATATTAAGCTTGGAGATTTAGTTACAGAAATATCAGTCAAATACTTAAAAATAATAATTCTACATCAAGCGAAGAAAATTAAGAACTTAAATAAATTCAAATAGCAATAGTAGAAACCTTACTAAGAGATGAACAAACAGTAAATTCAAAGATGACAAGTCAATATGATTATAATTGAAAACAAAACAGCTGAAGGATGACAGGTTTTAGCGAATTTCCCTATAGACCGAAGTAGCTATTACCGTAGGTGGCACGGTAAGACCTGGAACCGGGAACGATACACTTTTTCCTTTTGATGTCCCAAAAACACTATTAGTTCAAATTTTAATATAGGCTATATATATATATGTAGGCCTATATATTTCGCGAACACTTGAGTAATTTTTGTCCGATTTTGATAATGATCTTAAAATTCTAACAATCAAAGAATAAATTACAAAATCTAGTGAAAAATGCATTATAAAATTGGAAAATCATTCAAATCATCTTGCCCTTAATTTATTGGACGATCACAACACCATTTACAGACTGAAGCGACGTACGATATTGGACCTCCCATTCAGATTCGGCTAAGTGTTATCAAAACTATCTTTGTTGTTTGCTAGTGTTAACAGTGGTCAATCACTAGCTCATGTTCTTCAAGTGAATGTTGTATTATTGTATTATTATTTATATCATTTGCTTATTGTTCAACCTGAACAGATTGCATAAAGTTAAATTAAAATTAAATAAAGTAAAAAAAATTATTCTGATGGAGAATAAATAAACTGTTGTAGTTTGCTTGTTTAAGTTATGGATATATTTTAATCAAATTTGGAAATTTTGTTAATTTCATACTAAACTACCTATCAACATTTCAATTTTAAAAAACACTCCTCAATACCTTCCCTGTAGCAGCAAAACTAACACTCATTAAAATTTGTTTTATTTAAATAGGAAATAAATCAGACAATTTTTTAAGGGAATATCTTAGTAGGAATCCAGCCAGGTAAATGGAAATTCGCTCAGTCTGCAGGTTTGCTGCATCAGGGGTATTTTGTTTTGATGTACCCACAGGCCAAAAACACCATTGTTCAAATTTTATATCTAGGTATTTTTACATAGGTATTACACATGTGTCCTTTAACACGATAACTCGACCAAAAATTATCCGATTTTGATTTTGGTACAAACATGTAAACATACGTTTCTTAGAACGAGTTCTAAGAATAGGGTAAACGATTTCAAAAAGCTTAGAAAACCAAATAATTAAATCAGAGGCCTATAATGAAGTGTTTTTGAACGGTTATTAGGTCAGGCTACCAAAGGGATTATCAATATATGCTAAGTTAAGCTTCTTAGCCAGGAATAACTTAACTTAATTGGGATTAACTTAATTCTGGACAGGGCATAATGAAAGAATCAAGAACAAGATAATGAAAGAGAAAAAATATTATGCGACTCAGCAAATGAAATTAAGCAATTAGGTGGAATGATAAACAAGCTGAAACTACCAAGATGTCAAAACGAACCTACCTCAGACACTGAAACCTATTAGCACCTCAGAAACACAAACCAACCACTCAGATGTTTATGTTCCCAACTACTGTGCCACTGTGCCTCTCTAATTACTGAGCTGGCCCAGCTAAAAACTCGACAAGACCAACTAGAACGCTCTGTGGAAACTTGGCAAGAAGAACTACACAAACAAGGTGAACGAACAAACCCTGCTACACCATCAGCAGTCACACAAAGTACACCCAATGCAGAGAGTCTTCCTCGTTCTAAGAACCACAACCTAAGCAAGAGCAAAAACCCAATTGGGAAGGAAAGGAAGCATTTCAGTATAGCTTATCTTTCCAATTAGCCAAAAACAATTGTAGTAGGCCTACCTGCCAATGTAGAAATAGGCTTAGGCCTACAGGTAGATGGTGTAAAACAGAAATGCGATGCTGACATCTTAACACAAGAAACTACAAGGAGAGACAGCCAAACTCCTTTTAAAAAACTAAACCCGGATATGACCAGGAGAAACAGCCAAACTCTAAAAAACTGACTCAAAAAGAGAGATTTCCACATATGAGATTTCCAAATATTGAAAAACAAATATTATGACAGCAAGAGTAGGAGGCGACCAGAAAACTTTCGATGACTTTCTCATGAAGCATATAGATTACTTCAAAGACATAAATATCCAACACAAGGAATGATTATCAGCCTTGATTAGTCACTCTGATACCCCAGCCTCTAGAAGTTCATTTCTCCCACCCCAAGTAGATACCAGTAACCCATGTACAGATACCAGCAACACCCAAACTTTTTTTTTAGGACCCTCAACCAAACCACTGGATACAACATACGGCTACGTCCAAATTCACCAACATTTTTGGGGTCGTTTCTAATGTCCAAATTCACCAACTTTCTACCTGGAGCAGGTACGATATTTCTCCCGGCGGGCGGGGAAGGAATTCCGAATAGTTTGCCCTCGCCTGCTCCGTCTCGCCTCGGCGAGAGTTTACTGCTTAGCCCTAATAGTACTGTTTAAGCTGTGATTGTTTCAGGCAGCTTTAGGTTAGGTTAGGTTAGGTTAGGTTAGGTTTGGTAAGGTTAGGTTAGGTTACAGTACACTCTCGCCGAGACGAGACGGAGCAGGCGATGGCAAACTATTCGGAGGGAATTCCTTCCCCGCCCGCCGGGAGAAATATCGTACCTGCTAAAGGTAGAAAGTTGGTGAATTTGGACATTAGAAACGACCCCAAAAATGTTGGTGAAATTGGACCTGGCCCAACATACAAAACTGAAGGCAATAAAACTTCAAATCCAAATACAAAACCTTTTTTAGCCCGGCGCCAGAGAAAAGAAAACAAATACAAAACCAAAATTTTCTACAATTTGAAGCTCCCCAAGAAACACTTAAAGAAGAGATAATCAGGGACATTAAGATATTACACAAAATAAAACAACCTCCATCACTATTTTTCACCAAAAGTTCAAGGTCTTAGGAAAAAGATTGAAAGAATAAATCATCTAATGAGTGAACTCAAACACACTATCTTGGTGATTACTGAACATCGACTTAGCTCAGATATGTTATTACTCACCAAGATTGGTGGCTACAACCTAGTCATATATTCCAGCAGGGAAGATCATAGAATGGGAGGAGTTGCAATCTATATCCAGGAAACTGCTGCCATCAAGGCAGAAGAAATAGAAATCCCCAAGTTAGATTTTGAAGCAGCATTAGTGAAAATAAGGATAAAGAACAAAGCCCTCTACTAACTTGGTATGTATCGACCACCAGGGGGACAAGCTAGGTTAGCCATTGACATCCTATCAGAAATTCTGGAGTCACTTCAAGCTGACACCAAGGCCGTTGTATTAATGGGCGATATCAATATAGACAGGCTAACTGAAAATGCCAGTAGCAACTATCTTGAATAGGAACTGTCAACTTTTGGAGTTAGAAGACTACCACTCCCAGGGTAGTCGAGGCGCTGAGGGGGTTTGAGCATGCATAAAAGTGTAGCGAAATTTGACTTTTGATTGTTGCTAACACCTAGTAGATGAAGAAAATCAATGTTGTCGCATTTCTAGGTGGTTAATAACATGGGGGGGAGGGGGTGAAGTTGGGGGGCCGCCGCGCACAAAATAGCTTATATCTCGAGAACCAAAAGTCATATGAATACGTTAGACATGTCAAACTGTGCAGAAAAATGCATTCTACAAATAGATTATGTAGTAGTTTCACGGAAATTGACAAGAAGTTACTAAAAATTATATTTTTTAAATTTACGATAAGTATAATCATGAGTATAATGGTTTTTGTTGTTGTTTAGAACCATTAATTTTTTAATTGACAACTTTTGAGAGTAGTACACTATAGGTAAATAGTACTTCTGTATAATTAAACTATTGCGGTACATAACTTAACAGCTATACAATCCTCAGATCCAATAAACATAACACAAAGGCGCAAAACGCGTCGCGGTCATTGTTCCTGCTGCCGTAACTATTAATGGCGAGTACAGTTCAAGCTGAGACTTATATTATACTTTTAGAAAGATGGAGATTCTGAGGATTCATTTTCATATATATAAAATAGTATTGAGGGACTATTATGTAGCGAGAAATATAGTTTGTAAAAGAAGAGAGTTTAAAAAAATTTTGGTAGTTGAACGTTTCCATCACCTGACCAGGCTGCACAATTGGTGCAACTGCTGTTTCGGCGATCGCGTAAAGGTAGTGTAAACGATACGAGTAGAAAATGTTAAATACAAGCCTTGGCGAGTGCCTTAAAAACTTCTACGAGTGTCGTTAACACTATTTACGAGAGTTGTGTGCATTAATTAACCTGCGACAGTATTTTAATTACCAAAGACCACTACTCAAAACTTAAAAAGAGAGGTTATTTTTTCTTTACCCCTCATTGTCTCTGACAGTAATGCAACGAATCATCGCACCAATCGTTAACAATTAAATTGACCTGAACAGCTGAAGTTATAGTTGAAGTTCGAAGCAATATAATTTTACTTCTTATCTCTCAATCCTTGACCCTATCTGGGTACCAGTGGTGGTTATATTTTGGCCCTTTGTAGTGGTACCATATAATTCACCAGAGAACAG